TGAATAAGTGATGTGTTCACTGTGTCATGTAAAATGAGCACAGAAGAGATGCAAGCTACAAGGTCAATCTGTGTCAATAACTCAGAGCAGCGCTGCCATGGTTCTGAACATTTGTTTTTCTCTATTTAGTGATTGACGGCAGGGTGCATACTCATTTGGCACACACTTTGGGCTAGGTGCCTTTCAAATGAAATTTTCCCTTCAAAGCTGGGATGGATAACTTTCAACCACAAAAAATAGTTCCTCACTCTTATCAGTTTGGTTCTATATATTTGGCCTCTGCCACATCTTTACAGCAGTTTTTTCAGCGAGAGAGTACCATCCCTCACTCAGCCAATCAGCTCACTGTAATGCTATAATAATGTTTTACATTAAGACAAAGATAACAAGTGGTGGCCTCTTTTGTTCACAAAATGTTACTCAAAAAAGACTCTTTCTTGTCAAATGTAGTGTATTTAGGAAACAATTAAAAGTTAGGTATTCTAGAATGAACAACCTACAGCTGTTGTACAATTTACTGTATATACTGTATATCCAATAGATTTTTTTTCCTTATGTTTGGCATAAAATATAAAACATTATTTAATTCTAAACCCAACTCAAGCAAATCTCCTTGGACAGCAGCCTCTTCATCTTCATATCTGTTAGAAAAAAGGCCATATATCTGTGATTGTTTTTCTATGAAGAGAGAACTGTGTGTCCGACGGTGACCACCCCCCCGGGACATCTCTGTGTCGTCAGCAGTCAAATGTGATGCAGCCACATCTTGATTTATGGAAAGATCATGACCACAATTATATTTACCGCGGGTAGCGTTCTTCTATCACGCTTCTGTCCCAAATGAGGCTTCTGAAAGAGCTATAAAAGTGTCAGGCTTGTGCTGTGATTTATACATGAATCCCATGTTGTACCTCGCGGCTCTGTGTGCGCCTCTACATGTGTGTCTGCAGCTCGCACCTTCTCCCATTTGTTAAGAGTCCAATTATGATGATGATTTGTTTCATGCAGTGGCTTTATGCTTGTGTGACCTAATTTCCTGTGCGAGCATGTAAAGTGGGCTAAAATACTACTCCTTAATGCTTCTGTTCTGCTGGAATGACACTGCTCTCATGCATATGTTAACAAAACATGGCTGCCATGCATTCCAGAAGTGACAATGTGACTCCTTCATCCTGCTCGCCTGTCACACACATGCCCCCACAGACACACACCCCCAACATGCATACACCCTTTCGCTTTCTCAGGGCCGGTCCTATAGTCGTCAGGGGGCCTGAGGCTAATGTAGTTCCAGGGACCCACTTCACAGCATAAAACACCTTAAATGTTTTTCAAATGTTGATAGTCTCACAAACATAGTTAAATCAACCTCTTTAGGGAAAAGGAAGGAAAAAGTGTCTTCCTTTTCCCCCATTGATAAGAACCTTTATGGCCATTCTCCCGGCTTTGAAAGGCCACCTCTAACCCTCTATGGCCCACAGAGGTCAAACATTAACCTGCTCCATCCTCCATGTTTTCTCCTCACTTTCAGATCTTAGCTCCGACCTCCTGCCAACAGAGACACAGCTGGTCATTAAGGCTCTGTATTGCTCTTTTACAACTAAATGAGATATTCATTAACCTATTGGCCAAGCATTTGCAGAGATCAAGACTCTATTGTCGTCAGCCTGAGAGCTTCATTGGCACTATATAAGCAAATTAGATGTACCACCCAAACCAAAGAGTACCACTAGAGTATTTCTGAAATACGACATTTACACTTTCAATACTTATATACACAATTACTTAACCATTTTCACTATGGTTTAAATGTCCCAGATGGGGAAATCTTTTTTCAAGTGATTCTTGTGATGGTTTGTTTGAGTATTGCAGAGCTTTTGTTTACTTTGTAATGCTAAATATTAGTCGGTGTCCTCTTGAGTTTTAGTGGAGTTATTGCAATGATCATCTGAAATAAATCCTGTTGTTTTTTGGGTCAAAGGCTTTTATAAAAGTCCATAGACGTAATGCAGCAGTTCATTAGAATTGACTCAAGTGGTTTGTAAATGGGTCCATAGAATGAATCTTTTATGAGACTTTTGGTGAAATTATGTTAAAACTGAGCTAATCATTTTGACCGAATTCAGAAGTTAGTGATTTTACACTTGATATTTTGGTTATCTGAAGGTCGAAGCTAACATTTCTATTGACGCTGAGAGGAGCGTCCTTGTTTTGTCTGTATAAAGCCATGTCCACGATGTGAAAACTCCACATCTTTAGTCATTTAGTCTTGTCCATGTTACAATTCGGCTTTGGTGATTTTTGCAGATGCCATTCCAGTGTCCGACATAATAGTGGGTAATGTGGTTTGCTCAAGAGCTGGAGTTAGAAAACTAACCTGGACTGCAAATCATTATCAAATGAAATGATCAATTTTCCACTCATTTTGAACTAAAGTAAATAGCACTTTATTACTTCAGTAGTACCCCTATTTGTTATCACACAACTGGGTTTAGTGAATGTTAAGTATAAGTTAGTGTAGACTTTTTAGTGCTCCAATCGACCCTGAAGCAGTCCTCTGGGGAAAGCAGGTTTGAAAGCACAACTGAGGATGTGTCCAAATGTGGGAGGTGGCTCCATGTGCCATTGGCAGCCGCAGTGTTGTTGACATGGGGCAGAGGTGATGACAGAACACCCCCCACCGCCTGCACTCTCTATACCCACACCCCGCGCCCATTCAGAGCCACTCACTCATGTGGTAATGGCTCTATTGTGACAAGCTCTACACTTTTTGGGCAGCAGCTTGGTGCATGCTGGCATTTGGGCAGAGGCATGATATACTCCTGTGTGCTCTGATGGATCCATCCTCTTTAGGAGTCTGCTCATGTGAAGCTCCAGGCACCGCATGGAACACTTTATAGATATGGTTTAAATGAACTGACACAGAGAAATAGGCACAATTAAAATAGCAATGTCTTTCTTAGGCATCTTTAAGCAGTTGTTTCTGTCCAGCGGTGTGTGCTGTGCTTTGGGCAGACACAGTGATTCGTCATGTCAGACAGCTCCTGTGCTGCCATACAACAAAAGGTGAAAGGGAGTGTGGGAAAGGGCTGGTGCACAAAGCACGCTCTGCCCCCGTCTGCCTCTCTTCACTCTGCATAGGACAGAAACACGACATGCAACACCCCCACACAATACAGGAGCTGCTGAGGGTCCTCACTGCACTCTCTTTCTGGGAAAGTGCACTTCATCAGAGTAAAGTCTATAATTATCTGTAAAAGTAGTTACAACTGAAACAAAATGTGTATATATTGTTGCATCAATATTAATGACTTCAGCACTGCCTTGGTAAGTGATTATTTTAAATAATGTTGTTTTTTTTTACTTATCAATAATTCAACAATCTATTTGCCAATCATTATAACAATTTTATGTAAACTTGCATTGCTTATTCTTGCCAATGTATTTCAGATCTTACAAACACCTTAACTTTGTTACACGGGAAGGTACTATTCTAAAACATTTGCTTGTCAAAATCAAGGACGACAGCTCCTCCATGCTCACTGTGTGAGAGAAGCAGCGAGTCATGAGCATGTGATATAAAACTCTTTCAAAGTGAAGATGACCCTGGCCATGGCAGCTCTGCCCACAGACAACATGAAGAGGAGGGACCTCTGCGTTGCCAGACAGTGGCAGATGGAGTTAGTAGAGTCTATAGTAGAAGCACTTTAAACAGGAGACATGGACAATAGTAATAATACATTTCATTTAAATAGTGCTTTTCTAAATACTCAAAGGCACTGACATAGTGTGGTTTACGTCAATCTTCCGAAAGTACTACAGCTAATCACACACACCTGCTCTTTATAAAGGCACTTATTTATGAATGGGATAAATCTGAGAACAATCAAAGAAAATAATGTAATCAACACAGATCACTGTATTGATTTGCACCTACTGCTTCATCTATATTTCATTCTAAATGTCAACAAAACACCAAAATGCAAACACACAAGACATAGGAAGTATGTGCTCAGTCTATTACTTATTATTTAAGCATCTAAAACAAAACATTAACATAAATGCTCTGAAGATTGTTTCAGTACAAGGAATCCAAGCCTAGTAATCTTGGTAACTGATGCTGTGTGAAAATAAGTGAACCCAACACAGAGCCCCCAAATTTAAAGGTGTGATTTGAGCCGAATAAATAGTGAAAACCTCATCATAAAAGCAGGATTTTTTGCAATACATACAGTTGCAGTATGATAATGTTGTAGATCATTTTTGTATCGCACATGTCTAAAGTATTGATTCTTCCTCAGGGTCCCTCGTTTCACCCAGAGTGGAGCAGTAACATGTTGTGTGTGATCTGTCACTATGTTTCCTGGCACAGACAGGACTGCACTAATGGACAGACACTCTTCGCGTGCTAAACAAATTAGTTCCATTACCCAGAGACAGACAGCTTAGGCGCGAGGTTGAGTGCAAGAGATATGCATCATGAGAAATCCTATATCCTATGACAACAACAGTAACTATAAAGCCCCCACATGTAAAACAGAATTTGTGCATGGCTTTGATGAGTGATTGGAAGCACTTTTTGAAGGCGTATGACTGGTGGAAGAACTGCTGCACAAGTCCAGACATCGTAGCGCGTGTGTGTCCTTCGGAGACAGGCTAAATGTGCATTATGGTCCATCCATCACTCTCTTATGACCCTTTCACTTACTTACACACAGACATACAGAGGGCCGCTCCCACATACATGATACGGCTTAACACGAGCACTTAACACCGCACCAGAAAAAGAGACGCATCTATCTCCATGCTCTAAAACGCTGAGTGCAACGTCAGGACTTGCACCAAACAATAATAGAATCCAGTTGGTTCAAGTCAAAACGATCCACCTTAAATTGATAATAATTTGATTGACAAGACTATCACATCATCTACTGCTTCTTTTTTGCTATGCTCACCTCTTCTTGCAATCCCTTTACCTCCATAACTCTTTCCCTGTTGACGATATGGATCACTCTGTCTGCTCAGTGATCGCATTACTTGGCCATAACCCGGACCCCGACGCCATCAAGAAACGCTTCACTGTACAAATACGAGGCTGTTTCTATTCTCTGTAGAAAAGACGTTGTGGCCTTGAATGTTTTCTCACAAGTTACTACGCTCAAACAGTTCATTCACAATTATGGAATTGTATAATGTGTCCATTATGTAATTTATCATAGAACAGTTTTGATAAAGAAGTCGATCTATTATTAGTATTAGTCGCTCACGGCCACTGTGTATAGAGGGAATTGAAAATGTGAACCACCTTTGCTCCTTATAAAACAAAGCATTATTTATTTGTTTCAATTGTAGACAAAAACAATACTACACATATTACAATTAAATTTCAAATAATTGTCGTCTTGTCTCACAAATGAAAAGGAGCAGAAAGAAGAAAAAAAATAATCTTATGTTGCCTGCCCCTTTCTCCATACATGTACTAATTAAATTTAAACATTTAAAAGAAATAAAAATAAAAATAAGATGGCCTTTAGCACTTCTTCAAACTGTTTTTATTTTATGTGTTTTTGTTTTCATAATTCTTTGTTTTTTATTGTTTTTTTTCTAATCATTCATTTCATACGATTTCACTGTTGTTGCTTTGATTTTTTTCTTAAACATGTGGATGTTTGCGGATTTTTTTATTTCATAGTCAAGTTGATTCCATAGTTTTACTCCGACCACTGATATTCCCATGTGTTTCTGGGTGGTTCTTGCAAAAGGGACAGAGAAGTGTAACTTCCTTGTACTGTCCTGGTTAATATTGAGAGAGAAGAGCTGTTACAGCTGCTGGCAGCAGAGAGTCTCTGGCTTTGTACATCACAATGAGTGACTGTAGTTTGATCAGATCCTCTAGTTTTAAAAGTTTTGATTGTATGAATAGGTTGTTTGTGTGTTCTCTTGAGTCCACTTTATGAATGATTCTCACTGCTTTTTTTTGTAAGAGGATTAGGACCCACTTTGCAAATTGTTCTAAAACCTAGCCTTGCATTTTAACATTTTACCACACAACTACTTTTTGCATTATTGTGAGTTACATTGCACAGTTACTAGTTACTTTGATGCAGATTTTACTTTCTAAACGGAGTCTTTTGTTGGAGACAGGCTGACACAGAGGTCAGACTGAGCCCTGGCCCTGAACCCTGAGGACCCTCTTTCCAATCATGTCCTGATCAATGGGGACCCCACTCTTCCACACCACTGGTTAACCATGCTGATGTGCAGAAGCTCAAAACTCAATACTATACAGCCTCAAATCAGGCAGAAGAAACATGTTCTTTTTACTACCTATATTTAGTTGATAAATGTGACCCAAAATGTGTTAAATGCTGTAAGATTCATAGTTGTATAAAGTATAAAATAAGTTTAAACAACTACATCACAAGAATAATTACCAGGTTAATAGATTTTCTTCAGTAATTAGAGCCCCTGCTAGTTTATTTGTTTATGGACAGGGCATTTACTATGGAACTGAATGTAATACAGGGCCTCAGACAAATTGAATTTCTCTGATCCAATTTAGGAAACACAAACCTTTTCTTTCTTTAGTTTAAAAGACAAAAGTGAAAAACACTTCTACACGTTTGAGCACTTCTCAAAGATTTAATGATATGCTAGCTTTGCCTTAATTGAAACTCTTAACAGCTGCCTTGGATCCATAGTGCTGTGTCACTCAACAATCAATACCTTTCTGGAAACAAACTTGGACCCAAACGTATGCACGCCCTGGGAGGAATCAGTCTTATCGGGAAACATCTGATCAAGCTGATACACTCCATTGCCTTATGGGGCCACATCGACTCACTGGGAGACAACTCAGGATCAATGTTTTCTGCATCTAACCCAAACTGTGTGTTTGTATGAGCGGGCCCAGGGAACCATCTGTCTGCATAATAATAATTCTAATAATAGACATGAGTAGACAGGACTGGCAGTGCACTTTGACGGGCCGAGAGGAGAGATAGGAGGCCCCCGGTGGAGCTCCCCTGCTGGGCTCACAGAGACAAAGACAAGTGGCTGTGTTTTCAAACATTGGGCCCCTCAGCACCCAGAGGTCAGAAACGCAGAATAATCTCTCTCCAACAAGGAGGACAATAGACCAGGCCCAGTACACACAAAATGCACACACACAAGTGAAGGATTTGGACTTTGATATGACCCTGATTAACCCAAGGAGGAAGCAGTGGTGGGGCAGAAGTATGAGAAGTTAAAGAGAAAGTTTCAAAGAGTGGGAGGGGCCAAAATAGCATATCATTATTACGTTCTTGTGGCTATATGGCTCTGTAAGTTTACAAAAATATCTTTTGATTTTACCATATCTTCTTGTGGTTACAAATGAGAAAATAAGTTTCGATTTATACTGAAATGTTAATCTTCCAATAACATAATCCGATTTTGGACCTTACATAATTCAATATGTATCCAAAATATAGAGCAGTTCTGTGTTATATATATATATATATATATATATATATATATATATATATATATATATATATATATATATATATATATATATATATATATATATATATATATATATATATATATATATATATATATATTATATATTTGTTTACCCTCCTTCCCAAAAAAACATTTCACATTCAGTGTTGTGTCATTCATACGTTATTTAGGTACAATTGATTTCTTTGCCGTTTAGGTGATCCTTGAAGATGAACTGTTTGAGGTGATTCGTTCATACTTGATATGACCATGATAGTACTGGCCCTACACAGCCACGAGGAGAGGGCGCCATCTAGTGAAACATGGAAGTAAAACTTTATCGACATTCGACATTCACTCAGACCCACGTTTATTTAAACGTTTATTATAGAGGTCCACACATCGGCATGATTAATGCCTCTACCTTTAGTTCTGGACTCATTGCTGGCCGCTTTGCTTGCGCTTTGTCTCAAGCTGTGTGGTTAATGTGCTTTAAATATGTACTGTCTTTGAGTCGTTACTCGTCTTGACAATGGACACTGCTTTACAACCTGAAATTCTTCGTTTTACATTTCTCCCAGACATTTCAAAACATTATTTTCATGAAATGCAGAAAAAATCATTTTCATGAAATGCTCACAATAATGCGTCCGGTAGGTCAACAGTTTATCCGTTCTTTTCTTAATCATTAGAGCAACAAGATGTGTTTTGTGTGGTTTTAACCTGAACGAGCGGTGGACGAATTTCTGTCTGAAGCTTTGGTGAAGTGACAGGTCAGTAGAGCAGGGAGGCTGGATCAGCTGCAGTGCGCTCCTCCGGACCGTGAAGCGCTCTTTCATTAAGTGACCATTGATTGTGCGGAGCCGCCCCTGGGACCCGCCCCCCGTGCGGATGTGGAGCGGGCACGAGGTGCAGCGCGCTCTTTACGCACAGCCGCCACGAGAGCAATGTCTATGCTAATGGCCTGGTGGTCATTTCTATGGTAATGCAGGCTTGGTTTGAAGTCGATTATTGACACATTTCTAAATGGACGCTTGATCCACAATTTGGGGTTTGTGAAAGGGTCAGGCCCTCAGGTCAGTTTCATTCCAACTGTCGTTTCAGGAAATGAGGCATTAGGACCACTAACAGAAATTATCATTTGTGCAGGTTAAATGAAATTTACGACTAAACGGACAATGCAAAGAACGCTTTTTTTTAACACATGAGGCTGTTTAGTTAAACCCCACTGGCCTATGTCAACATCAGTGATTTGGTCCCTGCTTTTTAACAGGACAGCTAGGTATCTCCAAAATGGAGGATAATAACATTACTACAGGCATGATACAATATACTATAAGGAGGATAATAACATAATGTGGTCCCATATACTGTATGTGCAACATCTCTAACTACTGTAGAACCTGGTCTTGATAATAAAGGTGAAAGAAACCCGATGCAATGGTTGTGTGAAAGGTCCAGGTATTGATCGGTCTACTTATGCCTTCACGGTTAAATATCAAAACCTTTGAGCGATGGTGGCATATGCTTCTGTGAAAAGAAAGGTAGAGGAAATGTCTTTGGTTTTTAGTTTTGAGTAGATGTTTAAATTCAATAACAATTTACCATAAATTACCAACATTTCCGCAACACCCGAGTGTATTAAAGCTCTTTATTATCCATGCTAAGTTAATTTACTTTATCCATAGGCTGACATGTGTATCTTTCATGGCACAACCTTGCTGTAAATGAGCTGCACTACACCTTCTGATAATCCGTGCCTGGTAAAAGCTCAGAAGTCTTTGGAACATAGTGGACAGGCCACCGTATACGTATAAGACCCAATGTATGTAAGAATTCAAAGGTCATCTTTTCTCTCTGATCGCTGCTGCTGAGAGTTTGTATTGATTGTAATTTTCTCCCACTGCACTTTTGCTTTTTCAGCAGACTTATTTTTTGCGTGAGTTGTTGGCCTCACAGCTGCAGTGTTACTCTTACGATTAATGAAGAGACATAGCCCTGCATGGGGAGACCTTAAAGCAGGTTAACTGAGAGAAAAGAAGTCTAAACATTTGGGTGCGGATACATTTTATCGCAACAGCAGAAGAGTCGGGTAATTCCTACTGGACACGATTTTCTTTACAGTGTCAAACTTGTATCCTACTGTATATACACATAGGATAATGTTCAGTATGTTTCGATCTGTTCAGTTGTGCACAAGAGTCAATAAACCTGACTAAATCCTAACTAAGAATTTACAATGATCGTCTGATTCCTTGATCAGATTTTTAGTTGAATGAAAGCCTCAGTCTTGAGTACCTCACTTATAAATAATACATTGTATTTGTTCCAACAGAAAGAGTCTAGTAAAGAAACATTGGTTGTAAAGGAGTCCTGCCCATGAGTCACAATTTGATGGTTTGGGTTGAGAGCTGATCAGCTGAGCATGGGTGGTCTGAAAAAGTTGATCTGAAGGTGTGAGAGAGACCAGAAATATACATGCATGTGAAACTAGTGATTCAACCAGAAACTACAGTTACATTGTTGTACATACTTAATGTGTTGTGTTTCCATAGTTAGGACTTGAGTTATTATTATTATTATTATTATAAAACAAAAACACAATGTTATGGACTTTATAATGAACTCTATAATCTCTAATGGCATTGAATTGACTGAGGATTAGAATTAATTTATGACTATTTTAATGAACTTTTTTTTGTTTTTATTACCTAAAAAGTTATTACTTCATTATTGGAGAAAGAGAATGTTCTCTCTACTGTAGATGTAAGCGATTGGACCTCAGGGGAAAAGAGTGGCTTGATGGTGCTGATGAGGGAATTTGAGATAACAGTGCTTTTTTTATTGTGGGGACATCACAGGCATGTCCAGACTCTGGCCCACAGGCCAAATGCTATTTGGCCCTCATTGACACCAGTTCACAATCTCATGCAGCCAACTTCAGCTCTACCAATATACTGTATGTATGTTATATCTTGTTGTAAAGCTTGTTTTTTTGTATAAACTCAAATATTTTTTTGATTGTGGCACAAAATTGAGTTACTAATGTAGGTGGTGAGATAGTTAATATTAGTCATTCAGCCAACGTCAACTTTATTAAAGCTGATTTTAAAGTTCAAAACAGTTTTTCAATCCAGGCTGTCGGCCCCTGGACAAGTCTGGTGACCTAAATTGTCCTTATTACTAAAATGTTTGGACACCCATGCCTTAGATGGTAAAAGTTCACAATGGTTTTGAGAAGAGGAAAGAGCACTTTCACGTCCTCTGCTCTGACTCAGATGGTGAAAGTGTCTGTGGTGAGGCTGCAGAACCTGGTGGGCTGCAGCAGAAGTTGGAGTGCGGTTCCTCTCGATGACTTCATGGTTTCCATTCGTAAAGTCTCCATTGTGACCGGGCTGGGTGTGTCCAACGAGAGAAAATACCTCTATGAAAGCTGCATCATGCCTCGCTCATCAATCAATCAATCAATACATTCTACTCTCTCAGATCAAGTGAAATATCGTGACAATGGGCTACAACCTGGCACTTACCTCTCTGCTCTGCCTCACTACATGGATAACCTCACAGCATACAAGTAAGTTTACTAAATATTATATTATGTTTTCAACAAAAACATTCTCTTACAGTTATCTTTTCTTTAGCCAATGGTCAATCTAATTGCTGCATCAAGAACATCAACAAGAGAGTAAACCCAGTAAACATTGTTGCCTACAAACTTCAACTCCAAGGATTCTGTCCCATCAGCTCTGTGGCGTAAGTATCTCCAAAGCTGTCACACATTTGTAATAAAACCTGAACAATTGAGTGAGTTTTTTTACATAATTTTTTTAGATTTTTGGACAAATGGAACAATTGGATATGCTGGGACCCTGAGACGCGATACGCACAAAGGACAATGGAGAGAATTAACGAGAAACTTGCAGAGCAGAAGAGAAAAGCGACCGCAAATCCATCTACAGTTGAACCAATGACAAGTATCGGTCAAACTACGGCTCCACTCAGTGGTAATTCTACCCAAACTCAGACAAGACCCCTGAAAGTGATGGAGAGCTCAGTGGACGCGAAAGTGACGAAAGACTTCAAAAAAGAACTTGGAAGGAATGGGAATAAGAAAGGGAAAAGGAAAGGGAAAAGGAATGGGAAAAGGAATGGGAAAAAGAATCAGAATAAGAATTAATAGTTCCAACCTCCTTTGACTGTTATTGTCCACATTGTCATTAGTATTTTGTTTCTAAAATACTATTATATTTTAATTAGATTCAGTAAATTGTAAAATAATGGAATGTCACAAAAAGTGGAAGAGTGGAATCTATTCTTGTGAGATGTCTTACTCCTTTTGAGAAGCTATTGTTCACAAGAGCCGTCAAAGTAAGTCATTGTGAGGCCAACAAATGTTAAATTATTGTATGTTTAATATATTTGTTTAATGTATTTTAACAGTTATAGCAACATCTGATTGTCTCATCTCTTGTTTCATTTTGTGAAAATGCTGCGTTATTATTATATTATTTGTAAATAATATTTTTTATTTCATAAGTTTCTGAAATGTGTTGCAATACATAATTCCACTCAAATATACTTTTTCAATAAAAATGGAAATACAATACATTTGATGTTGGCGTCTTTAATAATAATGATGTTGGGTTTTATTTCCTCCAAAGTCTGATTGAATTTGTTTACAGTATTCAAGTAACAGAATCAGCTAAACAAAAATGTGTGTGACTCTTTCTCCGCAGAGAGCCCAGCCACTCTGCGGAGGAAGCTCATTTCGATCGCTTGTATCCGCGATCTCATGCTTTCAGTCATTACCCAAAGCTCATGACAATAGGTGAGGGAGGGAACGAAGATTGACCGGTAAATCGAGAGCTTTGCCGCTTTACCACAACGGTCCGATATAACGGGCGTATCACTGCGCACCGATCAATCTCACGCTCCATCCTTCCCTCACTCGTAAACAAGAACTCGAGATGCTCAAAAAAATTTCGGTCGAGCACCACGGCCTCAGATTTGGAGTAAATTATCAGCAGTGCTATTTTAACCAAATGCTAACTGCTGACAAGTGTTGCTATGGTAACTAGCACTTGTTCTACTTTGGTCATAAAGCAAGCTGACACACCTCTGAACTAGGACCAGTCCAGGACCAGTTCAGGACCTGTCCAAAACCAGTCCAGGACCTGTCCAGAACTAACCTTAGCCATCGGTAAACTCAATTATTATATGACTTGGTATGAAATGAAATGAGTACAATGGTGTGGTAAGGCTAGTCCAGAACCAGTACCTTGAATAGGGGCTCTAACCCCTAACCAAAAATATATTTTTACATTCATATGAATGGCATTAGACAAGGTAAAGGTAGAGTTACTCATATTTCAAAAATAAAATATAATTTAAGAAAATACTAACATCAAAATGCATTACATATCAAAACAGAAAAAGTTACCCATTTAGTGATCTATTATACATAGGTAAACCATCGTGTCAGCCACACAAACAGGTATGGTATGGTGTTTTGCAGAAATCTATTTTGGGGCATCATAGTGCACTCCTGCAGCCGCTTCCTGAGGGTCGTGTGTGGTTGAAGAGAAGGTTTCCTGGATTCTCAGAAACATAGAACATGTTTCACCTAATGACCTTCTCGTCATTGTGTTTCCTCTTTCTTGAATATACCACAAAATGGCAATAAACGTTCTTAAAGATATATTTGTTCATATTAACAAAGCTTCTAGGTAGAGCAATATCATAAATGATATGAGGGGAAAAGCGGCACGGTGGCTGAGTGGATAGCACACTCGCCTCTCAGCAAGAAGGTCCTGGGTTCGAATCCTGGTTGGACCAGGGCTTTTCTGAGTGGAGTTTGCATGTTCTCCCCGTGTCTGCGTAGGTTTCCTCCGGGTGCTCCGGTTTCCCCTACCACTAAAAATATGTACAATAGGTCTGGCATGTGCCTCCTGTACTGGCACCCAAAAATCACAATTGTAAACCACTTTGAGACTCCGATGTGCAGTGAAAAGGCGGTATATAAATTAAGATTACTTACTAAAGATTACTTACTACTTACTAAAAGCGAGAAGGTTTGGTCCTGGTCCTGGCTTCCCCTGAGTTCTGAACATGGACATCTTTCAGCTCAAGAGTTGAAACAGACTCTTGAGCTGTGACCCCCTGTTCTAGTTGAAGGGTCTCATTTCTCCCAATAAATGTATAAAAACTACATAACCGTTACAATATGACACTCTAATATGTGATGTAGTGTTTTGTTTTACTCGTACTATATTTTACTCCTGTCTGTTTGACAGCCATCAAATACGCTGATGACACCACCATCATTGGTCTCATCAGTGACAATGATGAATCCTCTTATAGAGCAGAGATCGAACATGTTTTTCAGTGGAGTAAAGTAAACAATCTCCAGCTGAACACTGCAAAAACATGTGAACTGGTCTGCGACTTCAGTCGTAGCAGTTCTCACTCTCCTGTTGTTATTGACAACTCCCAGGTGCAGATTGTAGAGGAGTGCAAGTTCCTGGGTTTAACTCTGTCTAACGACCTGAAATGGGACAAAAATACTAACCGGGTCGTTAAGAAAGCTCGTCAGCGGCTCTTCTTTTTGCGGAAACTTAGAGAATTTACCACTAACTCTAAGATTCTGCTTAACTTCTATCGCTGCACCATTGAGAGTTTACTTGTTGGTTCTGTCTGTGTGGTTTGGAAACATCACAGATAAAGAAAAGAGAGCTTTAAACAAGGTGCTCCGCTCTGCAAAGAGGACTGTGGGCTGTGAGCTTCCTGTTCTGGAGGTTCTTTATGAATCCTGTTAAGCATATTTGATATAATAACGCAAAGCCATGTTAAATAGTGTACGTGGTGATGTCATGTGCCTGCGTGCACTAGTTTGTTATTGTGTGCATGCGCAATAAAATATAGTGCCGTGAGTTTGTGCACCAGAGTGATGATGGCGTCTTGTTTTCTCCCGTGAATAGAAAGTGCTAACTGAACACATTGGTGACTGGTAAAGCGTTAGACTACTGCAGAAATGGCAAACGCTACAGGTTATGGGCCCAGTCATCCAGGCCAACGGTGGTTTAGACTTTTATTCGACGGTGATGAGAAAAACTACGAACTCTGGGAAACGCGGTTTCTCGCACACATGGAGTTACGCGGACTAAGAGACATTATCTTGGAAGACCCGCTAATAGATGAGCACGACGATGCTGCTCTCGCGGAAGATGAGGCAAAGAACGGTGAGGCATATGCAGAGCTTGTGCAATGTCTGGACAACAAGAGTTTGTCATTGATAATGAGAGATGCAAGACGTAATGGAAGAGCAGCGCTGGAGATTCTTCGTGAGCACTACGCGGGAAAGGACAAACCCTGCGTTGTGAGTTTGTACTGTGAACTTTCCTCGCTCCATAAAGCAAGAAATGAAACGGTCACTGACTACATTATTCGAGCAGAGACTATATTCACGTCATTAAGAAGAGCAGACGAACAGATAAGTGATGGGCTTCAGATAGCCATGGTAGTAAAGGGGCTACCTGACTCATACAAGCCATTCGTCGTGCACGTAACCCAGACAAATGACACTGTAACGTTCAGCGAGTTTAAAACGAAACTGCGCAGTTATGAGAGTACAGAGAAATATGGGAAGACTGATGTGGATGCAGAAGAAGATAATGTGATAAGAGCTAGCGGGGCAACGAGATCACGAGGAAGAGGAAAGAAAGTGGACCTGGCAAATATCGAGTGTTACATGTGTGGGAAAAAGGGACACTTGGCCAGGACATGTCCTGATGAATCCCAAAGAAGAAGAGAGGATGGGAAATGGGACACACCACATCGAGGAAGAGGACGCGGGCGAGGACGAGGCCGTGACCATATAAAGAAAGCCAATGGGGAGGCAGATGGTTACACAGAACCTACATCTTTCTGTTTCTTCAAGTTAAGTGACTGTCCTCCACAAAAAGGGAACAAGAAGGGCCTCATGGTTGACTGTGGCGCCACAACACACCTAATAAATGACGCCACAAAGTTCAAGACAGTTGATGAGAGCTTCAGACCTGAGGACCACATGATTGAACTTGCCAATGGGACCAAGGTGAGTGGGATGGCGAAGATGAGAGGAGACGCCGAAGTTTGCTTGCTGGACAGCGAGGGACGTCGAGTCAAGACAAGGCTCAAGCAAGCGCTCTTCATTCCGTCGTTTCCACAAAACATTTTTTCCGTCAAATCAGCAACAGCCAACGGAGCAGAGCTACACTTCAAAGACGGTAATAACTGGCTGGTCCACCAGGATGGTACAAAGTTCAAAATGGATGTGTATAGTAGACTGTATTATCTTAGCACAGTGGAAGATGAAAATGTTGATGAGGTGTATGGATGTCATGACATTCAAACATGGCATAGGATTCTTGGTCATTGTAATTTTGATGATATTACAAGATTAGAAAAGGTGGTTGAAGGGATGTCAATTAAAGGGAAACATGACAAGTCCAACCAAAACTGTGAAATATGCACACAGGGAAAATTCACACAAAACAGAAACAAACAAGCAGACGCTAAGGCTACAGCTTTATTGCAGCTAGTGCACACAGACCTGTGCGGCCCTATAGAGCCAGCCGATAAAGATGGACACAGATATGCAATAGCATTTACTGATGATTATAGTGGGATGATTTTTACATACTTCATCAAATCAAAGAGTGACACAACAAAAGCCGCAGAGAAATTCATAGCAGATGTCGCTCCATATGGAACAATAAAGTGCATAAGGTCAGATAACGGTACAGAGTTTACCGGGCAGGCGTTCCAGACTCTAGTTAGGAGTAACGGGATAAGGCACGAGACTAGTGCACCCTACTCGCCTCACCAGAATGGAA